TTTAGGAGAAGAAAACAGGAAAATATCTGTTTTCTTCGCTCCATAAGACGCACAGACTTTCCACCCCCCTGTTTTGTGGGAAAAAAGTGTGTCTTATTGTGCAAAAAATACGGTAATTATAAGCAAACCCATGTAACACAATGCTTAACAAGCACGAATTGAATGTAGATATAATGAAAAACTAATAAAATATTATTAGAAAAAGATTAGTGAAAGAGCAAATATATAAATTAATCTTTTAAAAATCAGCAAAAAATGATAATGGCCTACTGTTTTTGAGCAAAGAGTAACTATATGTCACATGTATTTGCAAATGCACATGTGTACACATAAATATACATGTTTAGTTTCTGAACATTTCAAGAGTATTAAATAGCCTATGAAGGCCTAGACAGTTCCATGTTTGCAAACCATCTTTATAAGGGATTGTTATGTTTATTCTCCTTTACCTCCTTTTATCTATTGATATTCAGTGTCTAATCTTCTGTATGTATGTATGTATGTATGTATGTATGTATGTATGTATGTATGTATGTATGTATGTATGTATGTATGTATGTATGTATGACAGCACTATCACGGAGGGCACACATTGGAGCCTGAGAGATTGAGAGAAGGGCCTCCTGGAAGATCTTAAAAACCAGATGGAGTTTATGTATGTATGTATGTATGTATGTATGTATGTATGTATGTATGTATGTATGTATGTATGTATGTATGTATGTATGTATGTATGTAATCAAGTAAGTTATATCGCCCAATTAGTGCACAAAACTGTTCTGGGTGGTGTACATATGAAACAATAACATGACAACAAAAAAAGTAAGTAAAACAACCAGTCCAAACAAAAAGGCATCTACAGAGCAGACATATAGAGGTGAATAATTTCAATATGGGCTGCTTTCGAATGCGTCTTGAAATTGGTTTCTCAGTCTGATCTGCCTTAACAAGATTTTTAGGAATATAGAGTGGAGAGTAGGAGAGCCATGTACACTGCCTTGGACTCAGTAGAGATATAGGTAACTAATAAATAAATAATGTCAGCATGGAGGCCAGTTATAATGTGAGGCACTGGTGGCTGATCAGACAGATGAGGGATGGTAGACACCATCTTTGGTGGGCCAGATTATGACCCTCAATGGGCTGCAAATGCCAACCAGTGGCATTGACAAGTTCATGATACTGTGTTCTCATCCTGCTCCACACCAGAAGAGGCCTGCACAATAAGATTTGTGGTTAATTAGTCCAAAGAGCAAAAATAAGTGTCTGAAAATTAGGGTAATTTGTAATCAACTGTGAGGTTTCATTTTCATTCTACTTTTTGCTAAGTATATGGAGCTGTCTTTGTGAACTGTCTGTTACAAATAGAGCATACTATATATGCATTAAACGTGAAACAATTCTGCACTGTAAAATATGTACACTACTTTCTATAACCATAAGCTTTATAAATCTTGTGAATTTTAAATATGAATGTGTTAACTGGAATTCTTAGCACATCTCTACATTTTAAATCTTACTGCTTTTTTTAAAAAAAATCTTCATTTAAACAGCTTGCCAGCAGAAGTCTGAGACAACAAATTAAGCCAATGGTGACTGTAAAACTGCACCTCAACCAGAACGGAAGTCAGATTACCAAAATATTACAAACTGACCCTGCTACACTGCTGCATCTGATTCAACAACTGGAACAAGCTTTGGGAGAAATGAAAACAAATCACTGTAGACGAATTGTGCGCAATATCAAATAGCTGTTGGTCATCTCTGTAAACTTACAGAATTATGAAGATCAGTGTGGCAGGACAAAACAATGTTTTGGAACTAATCAAAACATTTCCTTCAGCCAGGATCATGAAACAGTGCTGGCAGAATGGATTTAGTTGGGTGCTAATCTTATAATACTGCAAGATGCAAGTTAGAGTAATTGTTATCAGTTTCAGTGGACATAAATAAATAAATTGAGCACGTGAATGCTCCTTTTTTAAGTTCACCAGCCTTTTGCATAACATACTGCAGTGTGTACAGTATTATGTTATGGTATTACGATGCTGTTTTGTTATATTGACCAAACATTTTTCTTTCTTTAACTATTTTCTCATCTGTAAGAATAAGGAAACACATAAAATAATATTTTATCTGTCTTTGTTCTTCAGACTGATTTCTTGAAATTGTTATAGTTTTCTTGGGCAAGCAGTTACTCAGTGATACGGAGTCATAAATGGTAGCTGTTGCTGTTGTATAAAACATTAACTTGAAGTGTTTTTAAAAGAGGTAACAATTTCCGATTGATACAAGATGTTTTCTTCTACAAATGAGGTACTTTGAGTGAATGTCCTTACAGGTTTCATGTTTGAATGTCATTGAGATTGTGTGACCTAGTTTTATCTGTTTTAGTTATGACACTACACCTCAATATTCATGTAAGTTTCATGGAGTGTATTGGCCTTACAGCATGCCAAAAATACAGATCCCTATTTGATTGATTGATTGTAACAAAGTAATTTAAAACAAGCACATCCCCCTTTGACAGGGGAGAACTGGGGCATTGCTGTTTCTTCCTACAATAGTAGATCCAAGTGGCCAGACCAATGGGGAAGGGATGCACCCTCAACATTTGACAACCTGGACAAAGTCCCAGTTGCCCCATCTTAGTTATGGTCTTGGTGACCACCATTTCATTATCAAATAAGAAAGGTTGCCCTTGAAGCAGCTGCTAACTCCTTTTTACCCATTGTGAGTCATAGCTATACTGACTGTCCACAAAACATAATTAATAGTAGGGCTGCAGCCTGATACCCATTGTGAGTCATAGCTATACTGACTGTCCACAAAACAAAATAGTAGGGCTGCAGCCTGAGTGAAAGATGTTGGTTGGTTATTCATGCAAGTTTTTGTATACATTTTTTATATAGAGTGAATGCCATCAAACTGGAAAAGAAAGAAACATACGCGAAAGAAATTCGTTTTTTGTAGTTAGCACCCAAACAACTTGCAGAACACTGGAAAATGTGTGTGTGAGAGTGTGTGTGTGTGTACTCCAAATGAGTGTGTGTGTGTGCGCGCGCGCGTGTGTGTGCACGTACTCCAAATGAGTACCTTGTGTGCAGGATATCTAACCCTGAGTCACCACTGATCCCCGGCTTAAGACATGGCCTGAGTATCCAACTTGTCAACAGCAAAGTCTGGCTCTGTATGGGTGTTGTAGAAGGTGTTAACTTAAGAGACATTTTTGTAATGTAAATAAGAATGTCTGTTTTTAAAAAACCAATTGTGATCTATATTTTTTAAAATAAACACTTGGGTAATTTCTCCCCCAAGTATTGTCAAACAATCACCTTTGCTGTTGATTACAAGTGTTCTTATCCTATTAGAACTGCTTCAGTCAATTAATCAAGCCAATCAAATGATAAATCACAGTGCCTTTGCAATTCAGAGAAAGAAGGAGTAGTGGCCCTTCCTAAACCAGCAGTGGGAAACATGTAATCCTTTGGAAGTTGTTCAACTGCAGTTTGGTGAAGCAGGCAGCCAATGGTCAAGCATTCTAGGACCTGTAGTTCAGCAGCAGCTGTGTGGGGCATATTTTCCCCATCTTTGGAATAGCTCCACCCATTACAGGTCTCTTCCTCGCCCTTGCCCATCTCCTATTAAAACTTGCACAATAATGAATTATTGTTTTTCACAGAAAATACAGGTCTTGTTCATATAATTTTCTGAGTTCACAAATAGTCTTTCAGGATTTTAGAATGATTTTCTGGCAATCTAGAATCTTGGTATTGTAAGATCTTGGGGTTACAAGGGCTTTATGCTACAGTTTTATTTCTCTAAGGTCTGCAAAATGTGAGTCAAACAGTAACAGTTACAACATGCCAGATTTCAGGTTAAGATATTTCTGGAGTTACAAAGGCTCCAGGAAGAATACAAATTCCTGTTGAAAAATTATTCTTGGATAGTCAATCCTTTGGATCTTCAGGCCCTGGAGATAAGTTTGTTTACAAATTCAGGGAGGTGTAAACCACTAAAAGAATTATAAATACGGTATAGAGAGATAAAGCACACATACAGGATCCTTTGGATCTTCAGGCCCTGGAGATAAATTTGTTTATAAATTCAGGGAGGTGTGAACCACTAAAAGAATTATAAATACTGTATAGAGAGATAAAGTACACATACAGGCATTCAACTTAATGAACATAGCAAGGCTTCACAGTATATCCACAATACTGGATACCATCAACAATCATGGCAGCACAACAACTTCCTTTCCAGATATCAACAACTATCAACATGGATTTTCCTTTGTAGATTCAAACTGGTTTGTCTGGGTGAGCACTTAACAATAATTTTCACGTTTGTCTAGATATGCTAAAAGGCTGAGTAATATACAGTATTTCAATATATTTAAAGGTTTAATAACTTCGGTGTTTTAGAGATATATTCTCACTTCTCAAATGTGCCTTATTAGGCTGGAAGCTCCTACAATTTTAGAATGTAACAAACATTCTGTGTTCTTTTTTTTTACCCTTAAAAGATATTTTTACTGCATTTTGAATTGGCATCTAACTTATTTGCCTCCAACTTAAATTTAGTGTTCATGTTTTTTAAACATTTGTGCCTACAGTTCTAAATAGCTGTAAGACTTTTGTATTTTTTACAAATATGAGGTGTGTTGTGTTTATGGAACATAGAAGCAACGTAGAAATATAAAAGCTTGTAAAATTATACAAGCTGACGTTGCCTGGAATTATCACAACACTGGAAAGACTTACACTTTGATTCTCAGATGAATTGTGATATGATTGTCAATGACTGTTTGGTTTTACTATAGAGTTAACCCTGGATAGCACAGTGGTTAGGTATCTGGCTGTAGAAGCTCAATCCCCTACTGTGCCTCTTGGACAGGGTCTGGTCCATAGGGTCCCTCCCACCTTTGCAGTTCTGAGACTAGCCTTGTCTTTATTTTTGGGGGAGGGGGTTAATACCAACTTTAACAAACACAAGCTTCTGATCCCCCCCCTACAAAATTTTGTAGGATCCTTAGGATGGGTTCAGGCATCAGTTTATTGGATCTGACAGGGTGAATTCTCCAATCAACCTGCAGCCCCTGTGTGAACACCGATACCAATTTCAAACCGTAATGCAGGCTCTGAATCAAAGCCAGTATATTCGCACCAGATTCGCACCTCCGATTGCTTCAGAACCAGTTTAAACTCCACCACCACCCCTTTTGCGTTTGAAAGTCACACTGATGATAGAAGGCCCTGCCACCGTGTAAGACCGAGACTTTCTGGTAAGGGCCCATCTCCTATCGAAACTTGCATGACAATCGATTATTGTTTTTCACAGAAAAGTGCGGGCCTATAAGGTATAACTCTAAAGTTAATTGCCTAATCCGTTCTCAGCTTCAGAACTAGTTTAAGCTACCCCGCCTCCCCCCTTTTTTTTTCATTAGAAAGCCACACGGAACAGCTGATGAAACCGAAACGCCTTCAGGGAGGCATCTGAATGGGTAGATTTGGCCAGTCTGATTATAGAAGGCCCCTGCCACCCTTTAAGAACCGCGGCTTCCTGATAAGGGCAATTCTTCCGCACTGCTATACTATGAGATTCCTGATTAGGGAGAGCCCCGATAGGAGCGGCGGCACGCTTTGCCTTGCCTGATTCAGTCATGCGCTGAACCCTTTTGGATTTCCGTCCGAGATTCCCGTAAAACTCCCTAAACCCACCCCTAGGAGGCTCCTGTTGCCCAGCTGAATTTAAAAGAAAAAAACAACAAAAAAGGTCCAGCAGGGTCTGGCTCCGAAATGAGCCGTGGGAGGACTAGCAGTGGGTGTAGCATATAATCGGGCTGGTCCCAGACGCTGAGCTCATGAATAATGCATTTGCCAAACTTTCTACGCCGCCCTAACTCTGAGAGTTTTGGGTAACTTTGGAATAGTCGGAGAGCAGCCGTCTGTCTGGAAAAATACCCAGCGTTTCAAGATCTGAAGGATGGGTATGTAGAAGGGAAGCGGGGGGAATACTCTTCCACTCACCCCACCCCACCATCGCTTGTTTGGCTACCCTTTTAAGAAAGACTGACAGATCAACAACGTTTGGACCCGGATCGCTCTCTGTGGAGCCCACCCGGGGAGGGGAGGAAGAGTTAAGTCAGGCCTTGGACTTAGAAGGCGACCATCCCAGCTGAAAGTTCCAACGTTCTAGTCAGAACGTTCAGCGAATCCTCAAAGTTCTAAATCAGAACCTTCGCGTACGGCCCCCCACAGCGCTCCGACCCCTCTTCGGAATTCAGGGCAGCTAGACTAAGCCCTCCCCTCTCTTTCCTCCCGTGACAGTCGCGGCTGCAGAATTTTTCCCATTCGTCCTTTAAAGGAGCTGCTTTCCTGGGAGTGGGGTGGGGGGCGAGTTGTAGGAAATCTCTGAAGTTGCACAGGCGACGAGAGAAGGGGAGGGAGGAAACAAAAAAGTTGCACAACTTTCCTTCGGGATCTGACTGGGACGTGCTTCATCTGTTCTTGGTGATCCTGCGAGATATAGTTTGGGGAGAGGATTCGGACGGCTGTTGCGGATTTGCAGCTTGAGCTGCGGGGCCTTTCGAGGTAAATAAAAAGCAGGGAGAAGTTTTGCTTTAAGAACTGGTTTGAGGAGTTTTTCGTTTGCCGTGAGCTGGCTCTGTCTCGTTGCTTTCGCCTCTCAAGCCTAAATAACTGGGCAAGAAGGTTGGAAGTCGGTAAGAGAGCTTTCGAGGGTGAGATTCAGGCCTGCTCACGTTGATTCGCCCTGGACTTTGTACCTTCCTTCCTTCCCTCCTCGCGAGGTGCTTCTTGGCATAAAACTTTAGTGGCTGCAAGGTGGGAAAAATGAACCCTGCTTCCGTCCCTCCCCCGCCGGGCCAGCAAGTGATCCATGTCACCCAAGATCTGGACACGGACCTCGAGGCCCTCTTTAACTCGGTCATGAACCCCAGGCCCACCCTCAGCTCCTGGAGGAACAAGAATCTGCCCGAATCTTTTTTCAAGGAGCCCGACTCGGGATCTCACTCCCGACAATCCAGCACCGACTCGGGCAGTCACCCGCCCCGGCTCAGCAACGCCGCCGCCGTCGGGGTGCATCACGTCCGCTCGCATTCTTCGCCCGCCTCCCTCCAGTTGGGCGCCGGGACGGGAGCCACCGCGAGCCCGGCTCAGCAGCACGCTCACCTCCGCCAGCAGTCCTACGACGTGACGGACGAGCTGCCGCTCCCTCCCGGCTGGGAGATGGCGCTCACGCACACGGGCCAGAGATACTTCCTCAAGTAAGTGGGGGAAGGAAAAGGCTGGTGGGCGATGTGGATGGAGGCGGGAAGGGGGGGGTCATGTTTGCTTGTGGGATGGCTCGGAGGAGGTAAAATTTCTGCAACTGCAACTCCCAGAGTTCCCCAGCCAGCCAGCATAGGGATCCTGGGAATTGCAGTCCCGAAAATGTAACTCTCCCTGCATTCTGGACGGTGCCTACAGAGGCTGGGGGGCAGCAGGCAACCCAATGCATCATGGTCGACAGACCCCCATGTTAGGCCTGGCTTAGGCTTGTATGTTACAACTTAGTTTTGAGTTTGGGAGGCCTTTTGCACTCTCAACTGAAGAAAGCCTAGCCTTTCTCTTTAAGTGGGCTGCAATTACAAACATCTTGTTTCACGCAAGACACAGTTTCTCCATGGATGAAAACTGCTTTTGGCACTCAAAAAGACTTCTATGGGTAATTCATTGGTGTTGAGGAATGTATGTGTGTCTGCTTGCTACTCCACCCCGCAAGAATACAAAGCACAAAATGGTACAGTACGTGGGAGTGTAATCGTCATGCATAACAATCTACGGGAGACTTTCAAGCAGTTTCTTGTAAGTTAACTTGCTACATGTACATCTTCCTTTTCCTCTAGTGAGTTTAAGACTCTGTACATGCTTCTTCTCTCTCTTTTTTCTTCACAACTTTGTGAGGTGGGACAGATGGGTGGAAGTGACTGACCCAAAGCCATCCAGTGAGTTTGAACCTGGATTTTGCAAGTTCTAGATGGCTACTCGGAGAGTTACACCACTATGTCATATAATTCAGATGATACCATCAATCATAGTTGTTTGCGGAATTAAACGTTCCTTATTCCACCTTCAAGGTTCTGGGAATCCTTTCATTCTGGGGAAGCCTTTGGGAGCCATATACTGACCTTACTGTTAGGTAGAATGAGGTGCTGTCTCAGGCTGGAGGATGAACTGCAATGTGTTTGTTGGGAGGAGAAAGCTGAGTCTCAAGCCCGCCTTCCTTTCTTCACTTGCCAGTCTATCTTCAGTTACAGTGGAGAAAGTTGCACCACCTTCACAGTTAAAGATGCAGATCCTGTAGTGAGAGCGGTGCAGTATTTGCTTCAGGCAATAAAATTTATTGGATCAGCCTTTAAGTACAGCACTAGAACTAGTTGTTAACTAGAGATGTGCTCTTTCATGGTTTTGGACTCCAGTTCCCAGAATTCTCCAATAATTTTGGAAATTGTAGCCCAGAAACCCAAATCAGCATACCTGTAGGATCTCCTGCCCCCCCACCCCAGCTTTTTGAGATATATGCTTCTGGCATCACCACCTCTCTGCCTTCCTGTTGCTTCCTGCTGTTGATTTGTTTGTGTTCTTTTTTTAAAGGAAGCTGCTATGGTGCTTCTCTGGAATTGCAGTCTTCCTGCTCATTTTGTTCTGTAGAGGGTGCCTCCCAAAGAACTGCAACTCCCAGGGAGGACTATGGCAGATTACTTAAAAAACAAACAAACAAAAAACCAAACAAATCAACAACAAGAGGAAACAGGAAGTGGAGATGCTGATAGTAGAGGTAATAGCACCAATTTGGAGAAATCTGAAGGAGATGGCCAGATCGTGTGACCTGATATAATGCAGCTTTCTATGTTTTTAATCACTGCCCCTTAAAAAAAAAAGGAAAAGCTGGGGGGGGGCATAAAAAGATCCCATGGATCCAGAAGAGTCTAGACAGCAATAGTTATAACTTCTTAAGGAAGGGAACAGAGCAGAAGAAAAGTTAGTTTATGGAACTGTTTGTACTAATCCCCCCCTTGCTTGCTTATTTGGAAATGTAAGTTGATGACAAGTTCTACAAAAGGTAATATCTGGTGTCTTGGATTCCAACCCGTTTATTGTGTGAACTATCATCAGACTGTGTCTTTAATCCAAAGATGAGTGTGTAGAGAACCTGCCTGTATAGATCAGTGAGTGGTTACTTACCCATAATATGGTCCTAGTCTGAATGTGCAATACTCTCTTTAGTAAAGTGGGAACGTGGCCATGGCCTTTTGTTGAGAATTGTTTGTATAACTCCATGAGATGCATGTAGAACTGTTCTAATAAGGAGCACCATTTTTGCTGGTGCTGGTCCTTATCCTCAGAGGATGTGTTTAAGGAAGTCCAGTGCAGTCTGCCACACCTCCTGCTACATTAGATTTGCAAAATGGTTCACCTAGGCAATTTATATCAAACGGAAGACAACGCGAAGACATGATATCTTAGGAACCCAAATGTAAACTCCCAGGGTTTATTCCTCACATAGTGTCTCTCAAACTAGACTGAAGTTAAATGTATCCTTGCCTTTAGTGTGCACATCTTGTAAAATACAAATAGGACTTGGCAGCAAGGAGTGGTAGAGTAATTATCAGGATTGCCTCTTGCAGTGGAGCAGGAATAGAGGTGTAATGTGAGTTGGTTGAATTTAACTTTTTCCTCTCCGGCTGTGGTTCCAATGAAGTACTTCCTTCAAAGCTCTAGTTTTCATCCACCGAATATCCTGTCTGGCTTGGCTCCAGGCGACAGGTATAGCTTGTCTTCTGTGGCTGTAATACATGCTTGAAATGCCATTTGACGATGTAGTACTTATGTCCTTCTGAACCGATACATTTACTTCTATCCTCTTGAGCAGAAATACTTGACTAACAGCATATCCAGATGGACATACACCATAGCTTGGTGTTTTGATCATTTTGGGTGCTGTTTGGGTCAAGTCAAATTACACATGTTCACAAGTGTTTTGACTTTGAGCGATCCATCCTAGATGGCTAGTTTGCACCAAAATAGAGATGTGGGTGGTGTTATCTGAGGTGACAACCTTGTGATGTATTTAGTGGGTTGTGGCACTGAAATGGATAACAGAGAATCCTTCTATTTTCATCTCCTCTACCATTTAAATTTTTTAAATATGTATTTTCCTATTGATGCAGTACTAGTCTAAATAACCTGCTGTATTATGGCCTCTGGGAAAGAGAGGGAAGGGAATGGGAAAGGGTGCATCATTCATCAAAAGGAAGACAAGTTGCTGCAATCCAAAGACCTGTTTGGACCAATGTATTCGCGAAGGCTTTCACGGCCGGGATCTAATGGTTGTTGTGGGTTTTTTGGGCTCTTGGGCCATGTTCTGAAGGTAGTTCTTCCTAACGGTTCGCCAGTCTCTGTGCTGTCCTCGGAAGATGCCGGCCACAGAGACTGGCGAAACGTTAGAAAGAACAACTGTCAGAACACAGCCAAAGAGCCCGAAAAACCCACAACAACCACCTGCCTGGACACTTCTCATGGGAGGGAAAATGTTGATCAGTGTGAATGAAAGGATCACTCAAGTGCGAGAGGAAATAGATTGTGCTAAAGAACATGGATCAGACTGCTCCAGCTTCCCCCATCTGAGTGTGTCTTAAGGTTTTACTCCTATGCAGTCTGACCTGGTAGTAAGTCTTTCTGAACACAACAGGACTTCGGGATTGACATGCATAAGATAGTGCTTGGGTTTATGTGGGCCGACTTTGTTGTTGTTGTGTGCCTTCAAGTCAAAACCAACTTATAGCAACCTTAACAGGGCTTTCAAGGTAAGTGAGATATTTAAGGAGAGGCTTTACCAGTTCTACACACCCCAGCGAGTTTCCATGACTGAGCAGGGAACTGAACCCAGTTCTTCTGCGTCCTAGTCTGTTGCTCTATCCAGTATACCCCACTGGGTATCTGGGTTAACTTTAGGAATGGAAAAACAAAAGTCTGGATCACTTGGTGCTGGCTTTGCTTTGTAAGGATGTTTATAAAGGTCTTCAACAAATTGTTTCCTCATTTGTTTACAACTGAGTGTCTCTCTTTAAAGATAGAATCTACCAAACTTGATGGAAAGGAATCTGAGATGGGTGGTTGTTTTTCAATGAAGACAGTGAAAGACTGTTAATTATGGCTTGTGGTTTTGTGGACTGAAGTCCGCCTTATTAGATGCAAGGACTGTTATTCTTGTTTGGCAGGAATATGTATGTACAGTACGTATATGTGTACAGCTGTGAATACATCCATCCACTGGATCTCGAGAAAAGTAGAGTGTAAACACTGGAGACAAACAGCGATGGAATCCAGAAAGAACAAGAGAGTGAACAGTCAACTGAAGTTTGTGTGGGCGAAGAATAAGCACTTGGCTTCAACTTTTACACCTTTTTTTTCTGTACACACGTGAATGTGAGTTCCTGCGAAGTTAGAATCATGCTTTGTGCCTCCGATAGCGTTTATTGCAGTATGCAAAAGCTTATGCGGTAAAAATTGGTGTTTAAGGTATCAGAAGGCTTTTTGTTTTCACTACAACTGACAACTACAGCTACAGCTATCCCTTTGGAAGTCCTCTAGTGGTGAATTACATTCAGAAGTGCAGTTCAGCCCTACGTATGTTTGCTGAGAAGTAGAGCAGTACAGATGTGTGGGTCTGGACTACAACTAGCCAAGTAGCCTGGGGAATTATAGGACATGTTATCTGAAAACAATACCTGCACAACTCTGCGTGGAAAGAAATCCAGTTATATCCAGTGGCACATACTTTGCTAATAGGTGGGGTTGGGATCAGTTGGGGAAGTTAACTGTGAGTTAGTTCCCACTGAAATCAATGGAAATTAAGTCCCATTTCTGTGCATTCCTGTAGATATTTACTGAAAAATAAGTCCTGCTGAGTTCACTGGGATTTGGGAACAGGTTTAAGTGTTCATAAGATCAAACTGTTTAATTTAAAAATAGTATTTTAGACACGGTAAAAACAATTTGTGTTTACATAAGGACACTGGATGGCTCTCAAATAGTATATATTTCCACTTTCAGATAAATGAAGTGGAGCTACAAATCTTCAGTAACAAACAATAAGTCTTGCTTGCTTTATTTGCAAAGGACCAGCTGTGATTTATAGAAATCACAGTTCTACATACTGATTCCTGTGGAGATTTTTTGGCAATGATTGTAAGAAACTTAAGGAGACCCAGGACCCTCCCCC